ATCATTGTAGCAGTCCTTGAAAATTAGGATAAGTCTCATGTGGAATGTGTGCTGTGGAAGATGAAGTGCTGCTATCTGATTTGCTGGATCTAGAGAGGTGGTGGTTAATATTTTCTAATGACTCTTCTTGTCTAACACTTATCTCGGAAGCTAAAAATAGGAACAGAGCCAAGGAAAGCAAGAGGAAATAATACCCAGTCTCCCAGTGAAGACCTCTGCATTATGGGGATGTTTGTCTGAGTTTAGCTGAAATACAGCCAAGGTCACAGTGTTCTTGGTTGAAAAATACACTTTGCTGAAGAACTGGGGAAATATTTACTCTGGGTCTTGGTGTCAACTTCTCTTTAGAGCTGCTGAGGTGGCAAGGAGGTCCTATAAGTCCTTGAGAGTAACAGCTGATCACAGAGTCGGTCCGTTTATAATTTTCCTGTAGAGATCCTGATGTACTTTTCTTACCCATTTTATCGGTCCTCCCTTCTGCCCCTGCCAGGTCTTGCTTTGTGTGTGATCTGTGTAGGGTGAGAGCTGCAATGTGGATAGCTATTTCTCTCAGGAGTGAAAAAATGTGTATCAGTGACAAGAGGGAAATACAGGCTTTTTGTTTCCCTGCAATAAAGGCGTTAGCCTGTGTGATGTCTTCTGTGAAATACATTGGTTTGTTCCATTGTGGCTTTGATGCACACCTTTTTCTTTTTTTAACCCTTTTGTTTGGTTGGTTTTTGGCCCCTTGCCAGAAATGGTAAGAAAGAAGAGAGAGTTGCTGGGAATAGATTTCTCCCTCTCTAACAATAGCTGGTCTGAAAAACCTGCTGAGGTGTGTTGGGGGAGGATTTCATTTGCGAGAGGCCCGTATGGCAGCAGACAGACAGCTTGCTCTGCGCATAACTGTCAGTTGTCAGCGATCTGTCGTGACCGAGGGCCTCTTTGTGGAGGTAACAACACCGAGGAGAGAATTCGGCTTTTAGGGAGGGCTGCAGTTGGTGACGGGTGGAATTGGGACCGCCCAAATTGTTAGGGAAGGATGAAGGAAACTCAAAGACCAAGACTAAAGTGTTCTCTCTAAACACTACCTAGACGTTATCACTGCAGTGTTTAAATGCTTCCTCCTGTTTGGAGGAAGGAGTCTGTGAAAAGAGCTAGAGGGAAAATCGGGCTTTGAACCTGGTTTGGGAAGGTGCTGGTCTTGCTGCAAGGTTCTTCTTGTAGCTCCTTGAATTGCATTTGTTTTATGGGACATTTCTGCAGCCAGCCTCACCAAGACTGGGCTTAAAACAACTGGCCTGTCCCTGACTATTGAGCTGTGATTTATTTTCTATCTCAGGTGCTGAAAGTTCTGGGAATTTGGATGCCATAAGCAAAGACTTACTGCCTCGACAAGAAGCTAGACTCAAAGCAGGCCTGGAGATGGCTGTGAAACACAAAGACAAGTTGTTGGAATTTGACAGGACAAGGTAAGATACTAGCTGTGAGACTGTTGTAAAATAGCATAAATTGTCTGTCGGGCTGAGCAGTCTTTAACAGCAATGTAAGAGAGTTCCTTCTAAAACCTGGGCTGTAGCTACAGACACCTTAACGTTGGCGGTTGGTGGAACGAGGTCAAACCCCGGGAATGGGTCCTGTTTGGATGTCCTTGCTGTGTGTCCCTGACAGTCCAGCTCTCTAGAGAGAACAGAAAGGAGCTGGTAGGAAGGCAGGTTTGGGGCAGGCAGTGCTGTGTCGCTGTCCTGCTCTGCTCATCTTCTGTTGTTATGGTTGTTTCTCACCAGTGTGCGTCGAACCCAGGTCATTGACGATGAATCAGATTACTTTGCCACGGACTCCAACCAGTGGCTCTCCAAGCAGGAAAGGGAGGCCCTCCAGAAGAGAGAGCAGGAGCTGCGGGAGCTGCGTCACGCCTCTCGGCTTGCCAAAAAAATCACCATCGACTTCGCTGGCAGGCAGATCCTGGAGGAAGACAACAGCATGGCTGAATACCACAGCAAGTGAGTGAGAACTGGCAGTGTGAAGGCGTGCCCGAGAGCAGGGAGGCGTTATGGGTGGTGGTCTGGCTGAATCTAGAAGAGCAAGCATAAGGAAAGCTGGGTGAGCCATTCCCTTGAAGGGCACTTCTGACACTAGGATGCAATTTTGCATTCTTTTCTTCCTTGAGGGTCTTTTTGGCTCGCAGCGCAGCATCTCTTTCAGTGCAACTCTGCTGAGACCTCCTCCAAAGCCCAGCTGTTGCCAGCCTCATGGGGGCCTTCGGTAGCTGGCACGTCTGTTAAAGATAAAACTGCCCTGGAAAGAGATGTGTTACAGAAGGCCTGTCTCAACAAAACCAGTTCATCTCGAATTCAAACTGGGCTGAGCTTCTGCGGTAGATAAGAGTGACTGTTCAAATCCAGACATCGGACCTAGCAAGGAAATAGTTTATCTAGGGGAGGTGGTAAAAAAATACTTTGGGTCAGAAATGTTTGTGAGGGGAGAAGGGAGATGTTGCCGGGGGAAGCAGGGAATTTTCTTGCCTCTTGTTTGTGCTTGCAGACTGGATGAAACCATCGAAGCCATTAATTGTGGCACGCTGAGCAAGCCAGCTGGGAGCCCAGAAGCAAAGACGTCTCTGAATTCTGGCGTTTTAGTGAATCCCCGTCTTCTTCAGCCTGCTCCTTTGGTCAGTATGGGTTGAATGATTTATACCAGAGTAATGACTAACTTTGGGAGAGTTGAGCTCGAGAATTGTGATTTCTAACGTGTTTGTAGTACCTCTTTCCTCCCCAGTGTTTGAGACATCCTCATTAGCCATCTGAGTTGGGGACAGAAAAGGTTTGCCAATTCCCTGCTCTTGGGCGGTTTCGTTTATCTGGGTTTTAGTCAACTTTCTCCTTTTCAGGAACTTGGAAGAATTTCTGAGAGCCAGTCTATGGTTGTGTCACTTTTGCAGCTCATTTATGAAGCCTTTTCTGCAAGGCTTCCAATTTCCAAAGGGTGTAATCTCTACCTTCCAATTCCACTTCAATTGTGGTAGGTTTGGTGCATACTATGCATTTGGGGGTTTGATGATTCCCAGTTTTGAGTGTTGATAGTTGTGAACATGCTTTGAAAATTGTATTTTCTTCCTGTGAATGCTCTGAAACACCAGCAGGTAGATTTGTTCCTTAAATCCGTAGTTTAGCTGTGATGCATAGAAAGGAAAAGCCGCACAGAGCAGAGCACTACCTTGCTTTTTCTCCTGCCAAAGTGTGGCGTAGTAAGCGCAGCAAGCACATGATATACATTTTTCCTGGAGAGGTGCTAACCTTCTTCTTGTTTCTTTTGAACACACTGAAGTGGGTGGACCAAACTGGTTTGCTCCCGCACAGGAAAGCCATCCATTCCATGGATGCTGGAAATGAGTCTGACTCGGAGCGGAACAGGTTGCGGATTCAGGATCGAGAGTTGCAGGAGATCTCAGATGATGGTTGGTGCCTCAGCATGCACCAGCCCTGGGCTTCCTTGCTCGTAAAAGGAATCAAAAGGTACAAGTTTCTTCACAGTGGGTAAATTTAGAGAGAGGCTATGGTGTCTCTGCTATAGTCAGGGTGTGCCTTTCTGGGATTTGAAAGGTAAATAAGCTGAAAATGTGAAATATGTTCTTCTGGTCTTTTTGTCCATCATAAAGAAGCCAACAGTGTCACCAAGCTTTGTTTAAAAAAAACCAACCACATGCACACGCCCCTTGCCACCGCCTTCCCCCTCTGGGCTAGGAATCAAGTTACAAAGAGAAGCTCCTTCAGCACAGCATCCCTGACGTGTTAATTCCCCCTTCCTACCACTAATATAGAACAATAGCCTTTTTTTTTTTTTTTCCTTTCCTTCACAGTATTTTTCATTTTGGAGAGCAAAGCTTTTTCACTTCCCAAGCTAAAGATGCTGTAAATCTTAGTGTGCCCGGCGCCTGCGTCCAGGCGGCCTGGGGATGCTGTCAGCCGCTCTGGTGCAGCTGCGGCGCTGGTGCCTAGTGCCCATGCTGGGATCCCCGAGAGCTGCAGCTAACGACCGCTTCATACGGATGCGTGGTCCGTGGCTACTCCCTAGGTCGCGTGCTTACTGTGTGTAACCTTTTGAGCTTGTAAGGGAGTTGTGTGAGCAGATTGTCCTACACACGTGTCCGACATACTGCTGTACTTGCAGGGGGTTGACGTCCCTTTTTGCTGTTGCTTTAAAGCAGTGAGGACATGCTCTGCTTGTGGCATTATTTCTTGCCCATCTCAGCTTTTCTCTGTAGTGCTGACACGTTGCTTGAGTTTAAATAGGCAGGGCAAAGCTTAACAGCAGGAA